TCGTCGTGGATCAGCTCCTTGACCGTCTCCTCGTAGGTGGCACTCGCCCGTTGGGCGGGCAGTGATAGCGGGCTGGGCAGGATGTGGGCCTCGCTCTGGTTGAGCATGTCCATCAGAACGCGGTCGGCGTTCATCACCACCTCGATGTCCTCCTTGGTAATCTCGCAGTGGGCGATCTTGATCACATAGTCGCCGGCCATCTTGAGGATGTCGGCGGAGATATACTCGAGCACGGCCACCAGAAAGGCGGACACGGAGCTGTCGATCTTGTACTGCAGCACATCCTTCTGGAGCAGTGTGTGCACCCGTTCCGTGGGCAGCACAGACTTACGTTTCTTCGAGTTAATCACCTCCTTGGCCTCATTGAGGGCCCACTGGTCGATGGGCGCCGGAAAGGACTTGTTGACCTTTTCCTCCACATCCTGGACGGAGTGGGGCAGCGGTTTGGCGCACAACATGGCCAGCAGCCGGAGACAGAGCTTCTCCACATACAGCAGGGCATCCTCCTTGGCGGTTACCCGTGGATGCACTTGCTCCAGCACCTTTTTCAGCGAGGGCGTGAACAGTCCCCTCCACCTGGCCGCATTCTCGCATTTGGTGAAGTCATAGCCATCGCAGTCCTGCAGCCCAGCCACGCCCCCTCCGCCAACTCCAGCACCTCCGCCTCCGCCATGGGAGCCACCACCACCGCCTCCGCCGCCCAGACCGATCCCGCCCCCGTAGTTAATGGTGTGGGCATGGCCGCTGGGTCCCGAGAACATCCTGTGCGCCGTGGAACAGTGGAGCACCTTCGTTGGCCGCCTTGCCCCCGCCTCCCCGCCCGTTGTTTGTATTGGTCGAGCGACGAGTGGAGTGGAGTGGATCGGAACCTGGAACCTCGGCACCTGGCACAGCCGGATCACCCGGGCGAGCCTCGCATTGCAAGCACACACTCAATCGCACACACTCGAGACGCGTTCTTTATTATTTTTCGGCTCGGCAGCCGTTCGTTCGCAATTTGCTTAGTTTAAGCACTTGTTTTCAGATCAGAATATGTATCTTCTTCAGTGTGGAATTACTACGGAATTACCGATAAATTATACACTCCGGCTCTCAGGAAAATACCATAATATACCATTTTTATATATTTAAATATACCAAAAGCATTACAACGGTCACGCTGAAACGACAGGATTGTGTACTGGCTGTCGGGAGGGTGTATCTGCTAGGCCAGTAGCGTGTAATCGTTAACTGCCACTATTAAGATTAACATCTAGCTAACATAATGTTTTTCATAGGACTTAAAATGACAGGGAAGTTTAACACCGCCAATGCCCATAATGTAAATGTATGCAGTACCAATCATCAGAAGTTCATCAAAAATACTTCGATGTGGCTGATAAATCATTCATAAATTTTCATTTAATGATTGATGAAATTAACTTGGGCACTTTCTAGTCTGACATCAGTGACAGAATCACAAACTTCATCAAAATGAATGAATTTAGCAATTTTTGATTTTAGCAATATTTCGGTAATAACGGTAGATAAGCTGATATCAGTAAAAAATTCGTCAACAGTTCATCGCTAACGGCAGCAGGTGTGACAACAGTAAAAATTTCATCTATCACAACATAATCACTCAAAATTCACCAAGAACTCATTAATGACGTCCTCCAGCAAAAAATGCATCAGCTCATCTGTCTAAATATCGTCATCAGTCTGAATATCGTCAACAATTCATCGATGAAAACAGCAAGGCTGTCACTAGTGACAAATTCATAAACTTGTAATCAAAACAGCTGGATTTATCCACCATCGACAAAAAATGGTTTTTGATATCAACATTTTATCAGTGACGTTATATAGGCTTGAAATTCATCAGCAATTCACCGATGACTGCGCTAGGCTGGCATCAGTCAAAAATTATTCAACAATTTATCACTGACAGTAGATAGACGACAAAACCCCGGTTTTCAAATCAACATTTTATCGCCATCTTATTAAACTTTAATCAACTTTATTTTCGAAAAGAGAAATTACAGACAGGTGAACGGCAGAGACACTATGTGTTTCATTCTTTTAATACTTTAGAATTTCGAATTCCGATTTGGTGCTCCTGATTCCTAATGTACTGTAAAAATTATAACAAAAGTCTACAAGAACCTGGTTCCTCTTATCAATCATATGTAAATTGAAATCAATCAATTTTGCGGTATACCAAAATTCGTGCAAACAAAATGTGGAGCTTGACAAACGCTTTGATCGCGTGTGAAAAAGCTTTGTTTGGTGAATTTCGCCACCAAATGAATTGATATGACGATTGACCGCCTGCAATAATGCTTAGCTCTTATCAACTATATTGTACTCGGTACTTCGTTTCCGAGGTGTATTTTAGAGTAGTTTGCTCTCAGTGTCGCTTGCTTTACGCCCAGCAAGATTCCTTATGATCAACTTATTTGATAATCTCTCACCGGTGATTGACTATCGAACACAATGGGCAGCTACAAAAAGAGCCCCATTTCTGGGGTCGCAGCAGACGTTAAACGGAGTTCTTCGCGTGTGAAGGCACAACCCAACGCAGAGGAGAATGGTTCTACTTACTTTGATCCTGGTTTTGTTGGCGGTGGGCCTGCTGTATGCCGTTTTGATATGGAACTACGATTACTGGAGAAAGCGTGGTGTTCCGGGTCCCAAGCCGAAGCTTTTATGCGGCAACTATCCTAACATGATTGCTATGAAGCGACATGCCATCTACGATCTGAACGACATCTACAGGTAAGTACTGCAGCTAGGAAGGAAGTGAAGTTTTTTAATATAAATGAAAATAGCTCTCTTAAGTTTTTTATCAGAGCAATATTTACCACATGTTTTTGTACCACATTTCTTAACTTCTTAACGCAACGAGATATCCATTGGTCCATCTTAATGGAATAGTGGATTCTATTTTGTGACAATACTGTTCTGAATCTTAATGCTGTTCATTATAACCTTATATAATTCATATTTATCATACCGAAAATTTAACTGACTTATTATTTTATTTTATTATTTATTTTATTTATTATTATTATTTATTTTATTTTATTATTTTAGGCAGTACAAGCACAATTACGACGCTGTGGGCATTTTTGGCTCACGATCTCCACAACTGCTGGTTGTCAATCCCCAGTTGGCACGTCGCATACTTGTATCCAACTTTAAGAACTTCCATGACAATGAGATTTCCAAGAGCGTTGATGAAAAAAGCGACTTTATTTTTGCCAACAATCCGTTTACGCTAACTGGTGAAAAGTGGAAGAATAGGCGGGCAGACGTGACTCCTGGTCTTACAATGGGACGGGTGAGGCAGTGCATCCAAGTGCACACATATCGTTACTATATCAATGTGTGTAAATCTTTCATAGATTAAGACAGTCTATCCGGTGACGAACAAGGTGTGCCAAAAGCTGAGCGAGTGGGTGGATAAGCAATTACGTCTGGGTTCTTCCGATGGCATCGATGCAAAGCATGTAAGAATTCAAATAATAATAACTGTAGTAAAATCTTAAACCCATTTACTACGCTACCCACAGATGAGTCTATGCTTCACCTCAGAAATGGTCACCGATTGTGTTTTGGGCCTGAGCGCGGAGAGCTTCTCAGACAAGTCCACTCCCATTATGGCGAGTATAAAGGACCTGTTTAACCAGCCCTGGACCTTCGTGCTCTTCTTTGTGCTGACTAGTACCTTTCCGTCGCTGAGCCAGTTGATCAAACTGCGCTTCGTACCGCTCCCAGTGGAACGCTTCTTCGTCGACCTGATGGGCAATGCAGTGGAGGCCCGCCGCGCCCAACAATCCGCTGGAAAGCAGTTCGAGAGGTCCGACTTCCTGGACTACATCCTGCAGCTCGGGGAGAAACGGAAGCTGGACAATCGCCAGTTGCTTGCCTATTCCATGACCTTCTTGCTGGACGGATTTGAGACGACGGCCACGGTGCTGGCTCACATGCTCCTCAACCTGGGACGTAATGGTGAGGCTCAGCAGCTTCTGCGGGAGGAGATCCGCGCCCATCTGCAGGATGGTATTATAAACTTCGAGAAACTTAACGACTTGCCTTATTTGGATGCTTGTCTGCAGGGTGAGCTATAGCGGGTCTTAGACTACTTGTTGCCAAATACGTCTTTCTTTGGATTTGCAGAAACCATCCGCCTCTTCCCGCCCGCCTTCATGTCCAACAAACTCTGCACCGAATCAATCGAGCTCCCCAACAAGGATGGCCCCAACTTCGTGGTGGAGAAGGGTACCACTGTTGTAGTACCCCACTATTGCTTCATGGTGGATGAAGACTTCTTTCCCGATCCTCAGTCCTTTCAGCCAGAGCGATTCTTGGAGCCCGATGCGGCCAAAACGTTCAGGGAACGGGGTGTCTTTATGGGATTCGGAGATGGTCCACGCGTGTGCATTGGTTGGTAGATAAATAATTCATAGTATCATAAATATTAATACTAATTTTAATTTCTTATTTAGGAATGCGATTTGCCACAGCCCAGATCAAGGCAGCCATTGTGGAACTGATCTCAAAGTTCAATGTGAAGATCAATCCCAAAACCCGCCAGGACAATAAGTTCGATCCAATCCAATTCCTCATTACTCTGCAAGGCGGCATTTGGTTAGACCTTGAAAAACTTTAGCAAGCCATATCCATATGACTAAGTGAGCACTAAGATCTGTGGAAAATGCAAAACCAAAAGAGTTGGGATAAAGAACGAAGATTGTTGGAGTTTTTGCGTAGCGGAAGTTTATTTCAGCTAAAAGCCATGTCCACTCTAACGCCCATCTTTTTAAAAAAAATCCTTAGTTTAACATTTTAAAAGATTTTATGATTTCCATAAAAAATTCTTAATTTGTCGTGAAAAAATGCTTTGTTTAATATTTTCAAAAATTAGTTCCTCCAAAGCGATAGTAAATTCATCCATATGATTTTTTATAAAATTGTTTATATGTTTAAAGACTTCACCGCTTATGTAGCTCATAAAGCTTGTCGCCTTTTAATTCTGGTCGTTTTTTAGCGTATTTAGACTACTGGCATCATTGTCGAATATAAAAAAAATGTTGAGAGACTTTCACTACAGATGGAACATTAAGAATGGGGATCAATGGTTTCACGGTTTAGAAGTGGTTATTGTGTAAGCTCCCAGCTTTACAATTAATGTTCCCTTACTAATAAATCATGTGAGAACAAAAATAGCCAATCAGTTTGTTGTTAAATTTTCAGTGTGTAATAATCCGATTTCCACAATATGTCAGCCTATATATATGACAGTATCAAGGGTACACTGCTGGATCCCACGGCATCCTTTCGTTCCAGCACATTACTCGATGAGGAGGCAGTAAGGAAGCTGCGCGGTCAGTGGAGTGATTATATCTTTAGCCTTCCCAAGACGCCTTTCGAATTGCAGCTGGCCAAGTCTCGGGCGGATCAAGCCCTTGAGTTGGTCAGAAGCAAGCAAAAGGCAGTCGAAAGACAGGGCCCATCCACTCCGAAACGCTGCCGCCGTCCCCTCACAGATCTGCACAATTCGCCACGTACCACTAGCCGGATGAAGCAAGTTCTCGAGACCCGAATGCGACCCTCCAAAGTTAAAGAGCCCGAATTACAGTACAACCTGTGTCCGCAATGCGGCCTTGTCAAGGACTCGATTTTAAACCATGAACACGCCGAGAGGAGACTACAAAAGTTGTTCGAGCAGCATCCCAGTTTGGTTCCAAAAGGGCGGAATAGAAAGTCGCCGGGGTACTATAGAATACTATAGAATGTGGACATTTCTTAAAAAGAAGGCAGTATTCTATGTGTTTCTCAGAATGTACTTAGGCTCATATAATCTTCAGTTATAATTAATGTTGTACTTAAACAAACAAGGAAATTATCTCTCCAGTAGCGTACCGCGTTGCTTTTTCTGGGGCGGTGGTGCCTCTTCTGTTTTGCTTTTGATACCCACATCGCTCAGCTTTCCGCCCTTACGCTGCAGCTGCTTCTCGATGATCCTTGCATTATTCGCATAGCTGTCGGCAATCTCGCGCTGTTAAGAGATATATAAATAAATATGTTATTAATTGGTTCCTATAGTATTGTTAGCCTGTTTGTAAGAAGTGAAGCGGCCTTTTCCATTCTAAGCAACTTCGATTTAGAGCTGAATGCTAGTCCACCGTTTACAACAAACTTTGATGAGAAGCTTACCGCCTCGATTTCGTCCTCCTCCTCGTCGATGGTGGACACAGTGACTGAGCTGAACTTGCCCATGTTCTTGGTGTGCCTAGTGACCATGACCTTCTTGCCACTGGCATCCACTATGCCCGAGTCATCAGGGCCTGTGGAAGGAACCGGCTTGGCAGCCGCTGTTTTGTTACTGCCCATGGCCTCGGAGTTCAGGAGTTGGGTGAGGGGACTCTCGCCCTTGTTGCGGATCAGGGCGTTGAACATGACGAAGGTCACCTGGGAGTCGGGGCTATGGCGGTAGAACAGCGGGAGATTGCAGCTGCGGCACTGGAGGATACAAATAAATTACAAGATGTTATATTGGGAGTTACTGTGCGGTTCGCTCACCTTATAGCGGTACTGCTTCTCAATGCCCCTGCTTTTCCGCCTTATGTAGATCATCTTTGGAGTGGGATTGTAGGTGAGTTTGTTGGCATGGTCGTTGGCATTTATCACGCGGGCATTGTCCACCTCCCGAAGGGGCAATTGGTCCAGAGTGCAGTCTGTAAATCCGGAGTTTACAATTATCATTTAAGGCTCTCTTTATAGATAAGTATTTCACCTAATCTTACCCAGAATCAAAGCCATCTTGTTGCACAGGCAGTAGTAAATATTCAGCGGCTTCTCCTCATTGTACTCTTCTTGATCCTTGGTATCCGAGCAGACGATCGATCGAGATACTACTTTAGGCATGGTTTGTTTTTCTTAAGTTACTTTTAAGTTACTTTTTTGTTTACAAAATAAGATGCTTTTCCGATTCAAGAGTCAACAAACATATGTTCCAAAAAATACTTAAATACCGCAACCGATTTCTGCATTCGATTAGTAAATTTATCGGATCCATTGATTACTACACTCGACTAATTTATCGGTTCATGCATTGGGAAGATAAACAAAAATGTGTGATAAAAACAAACCGTCTGTTCAGGATATCGCTGAGCTGTGTTTCCGAAAATTCGAGTCCTTGCCAAAAACAGGAAAGCCCATTGCCAATCAATGGACCGTTTTGGCGGGCATTGTGGAGTTCAACCGGCGGACGGGGGACAGTCAACTGGTGGCCCTTGGGTGCGGAACAAAATGCATAGGACAATCCAAACTTTGTTCCCGAGGTCTCGTCCTCAACGATTCCCATGCCGAGGTGTTGGCCCGCCGCGCCTTCCTTCGCTTCTTGTACCAGGAGCTAAGGCACGAGAGGATCTTCCATTGGAACAGTAAACTAAGCAGCTACGACATGGATGAGCACGTGGAGTTCCACTTTCTGAGCACCCAGACGCCCTGCGGAGATGCCTGCATCCAGGATGAAGGAGAATCAGAAAAACAGGCCAAGCGTCAGCGGTTGGATGAGGAATCCGACATTGTCTTTACCGGCGCCAAGTTGATAGGTGACTTAAGCGACGATCCTATGCAGCAGACGCCCGGAGTTCTGCGAACCAAACCAGGACGGGGAGAGCGCACCTTATCCATGTCCTGTAGCGATAAGATAGCCCGCTGGAATGTGTTAGGTGTGCAGGGGGCACTACTGGATTCCCTGATCTCCAAACCCATTTACTTCAGCAGTCTGAACTTTTGTTGTGCTGATGCCCAGCTGGAATCGCTAGAAAGAGCAATCTTTAAGCGTTGGGAAGGCAAGCCCTTCGAGAATCTGCGGTTCCAGCCCCAAAAACCACAGATACGCATAGATTCCAGCATATCCTTTGAGTTTTCACAACGCTCCGACTGGCAGCCCTCACCCACTGGCTTGGTTTGGTCTCATCTGCCGGAGGACCTAAGGTACATTCACTTAAAATCGTATGATGTACATTTAAAAGTAATATAATTTGTTTATGTACAGACCCTATGAAATTTCTGTAAACGGAAAGCGCCAAGGGGTGACCAAGAAAAAGATGAACACTCCACAAGCTGCGTTGGCAGTTAGCAAATACAAGCTGTTTCTCGCCTTTTTGGATCTACTCAGATTTAACCCGAAACTAAGCGAAAAGTTTGGTCAAAATGTTTCCGATCTTGAGCTTATGACATATGCTTCTTGTAAAGAACTGGCAATGGATTACCAATTGGCATGGCGACAAATAAAAGATAAATACTTTCTTCAATGGACCAAAAAGCCGCATGATTTGCTAAACTTTTCTTCAATACCTAATGAATGAAATCGACTATTAAGTGTGTTACATGAAAACTAGCCACTTAATGTTCATATGTTAATGAATTCGTGGCTTAAGAGCTGCCATCAAGATTCCATTGGATTGGAAGGCAATGGTAAAAAGAAATCCGCTGATATTTCACATGCCAGTTAATACATAATTTTCCCATTCATGAAGGAAAGCCGATCGGCACGTAGTGGAACCAAAGGAATTATTGCATTAATGTACCATTTCTGTAAAGCAACCCCATGCCATTGAATTAAAATGCAACTGGTTCATCATATGCAACATCTAAGCGTGTTATATTTAGTTTATAATACCATAATAACATTAATCTAATTGTCATTTTGCAAACGTTTAACGAACAAACAAAACAGGCGTACATTTACAATTAAGGTTACAGCTACACATCCACTGATGCGAATACGGATACGGATGCACATATAGGAGGTATGCTTGCTGGGAGTACGAACTAAAGACGAGAATTGAACAGTGGGGTGTGCCGGTCCACCTCGAGGCGTACGGATGTGATGTGTGGGTGCGAAAAGCTAATCATACGACTCGAATCCGTTGACTATCCAAGGAGCGGCGACCTGATTCCTACGGGACTTAGTGTCCTCCGATCTCGCGAAGCTCACGCTTGCCCAGCGGCAGCGGAGGGCGGAAGTTGTTGATGACCTTGCCGTTGAACTCGTTGCAGGGGCACTCCTCCTTCACGTCGTAAGCGTTGAGATTGCGCATGGCGTTCAGCTGGTCGTCGGACACCTCGATGGGCGTCTTGAACACGATCCAGATGACCGACTCGGAGCAGGGCGGCGTGGTTAGGGAGCCCTCGTAGGTCCAGTAGGTGTGCACATCGGGCAGCAGCTGGCCGGGATCACAGCCCTGGGGCAGGGTGACGCGGTCGCCCTTGTGCAGAACGAACTGCAGCAGGCTGCTGACCTTGTCCAGCTCGGCGTGGTGATTGCCAGCCTTCAGGAACACGCCAAGAACGGCCAGGCCATCGGGAGCGGCGGCAGCCTCGCCAAAAGACTTGTACTTGGTGGTGTTCCAGTGCACCAGGTGCAGTTCGCCGGCATACGACACTCCATCGACGGTGTGCTCGGAGCCCTTGGAGTCTGTGCAGCCCCAGTGGCAGTGGAACTGCTCCAGCTTGAAGATCTGATTGCCCAGGGGTCCGCCAGTCAGCTCGGACTCAGCTCCGTTCACATCCACGCGCCAGCAGTATCCTGGAATAATTAAAAAGAATGGTAAATATATTTGCTCATACTTTCGGGGGTGTTATCTTAGCAAACAAAGGAAATAAACTTTATTCTAATTCAATATATATTTAGTTCTTACCAGGATTGACCAGGCTCTTGGTGTGCTCCGGCACATACTTCCACTTGAGCGGAGAAACCTTCAGGTCGCTGCCCTTCTTGGCGCTGGAGGGAGTGATGTCTACGGGCGACTGGCGATGTCCCGATGCTTGTGGGTAGTCCTTGGCCCAGTGGGCGGGTCCTGAAAAAGGGAATATTGAATAGGGCGGGTAAGTACACATCCAGTAATGTCATTAGGTATTTGTTCTTCCAAATCAACCGTCTTAGCTACGTGCTAATCCGTCGATAAGAAACAATAAATCAAGTAAAAGCAGTTCATTTGGAAGTTCCTTTCGGGATAATTTATATGTCATTAGGCTAGAGTCAAATCTTGATGGAAGAATTTGATTAATCTCCAAGAAAGCCATTTAATTATTGTTATAGCTAATCGCTCTTCAACGAATTTTAATAATTTCTCTATATCATTTGCATTCCATGAATACTTAAGTATAATTTCTCAGAAAATGTGACAATCTCTGGTAATTTTAAAATAAACATCCAATTATATGGCAATATTTCAAATTGTAAATAAAAGGTAACTTTTAAGTATTGATGTATTATACTATAAATTCTATTAAATAGAATATTACTAACTAAATTATAAGGCTTATTATCTAAAGTTTACTTTTCAATTAAACTTAAGAATGAGAATACAAATAACTGAAGAAATTAAACATATTTATAGCATGATATATACTGGTGTTGACTCAAGAATATACAGCCAGCGTAATCGTTTGCTCAACTGGGGAGTAGTAATATTTGCATAGACCTTTTATCTGACCAACCGGCTGAGGCAATACAAGTATTTGCTGTTCCCCTGTTTGCTGCATTTTACGATTTATGTGCGTGTGTGTGGACTCTTTTTAATTACTGGCGGTGGTGTGCAAAGTCAGGGCAAATGTTGACACAGAGAACCACGTCACGTGCCAGTAAAATCACTCTGAAGACCGCACGCCCAAGAGTCATGTGATAGGATCGTTGCAGATAAACCGCAAAAGTGTGGGCTGACTTGATGGGGGATGGGGCTATTGTTGTTTGTCTAAACTAGACCAAAAGAAAAACAATGAACCCCATACTGCAGTGATATATGCCGGCTAGTTGGTAACCTTAGCCAGGAAATGACTGGGGGGATCTTATCGAACCCGAAGACACCG